ACAAACAATGACTACTGATTCCGGCGAAACTGCACGCCAAAGAGTAATTCTTAAGATCAAATTTAGCTCACTAGAAAATGCAAAATTTGCAACCATAGCTGGTCAAGTTACAGTAAGTTGCAATGAGGACCTTTAACTGTATAGAATGGCCTTTTATAAATATTTGTATCAATAACAATATGTTTTTTTTTAATAAAAATACTTGAAATGCGATTTGGTAATGTGATAATTGGTCTAACAAGAGAAAAAGCAACGAAGAAAGGAAAGAAAGAAAGAAAAAGAAAGCAAAAATGTATTGCGAAAGCGAGATCTGATGCAAGTACATTTTTTTCCGATTTCATGAAAAATGAACAAAACACAAGTTAAAGTTCAGGTAGTTCTAAATGTCTTTACTACATGGAGACAACTATTCAAATGACCTAATGAACAAACAAACAGAAAGAATAAACGAGCACATCAGACTTTTTTTTAATGGGGCGAGAGGGAGTTTGTCCGAAGCGCGGGCTGATTTGCATTTTACGAGCTAACAGCCAATCAGAGTAATCTCCATCATACATTCTGCGATTGGTAGACCAGTCTTTCAAATCATATCTAAAAGATGCAAGAGCTCTTAATTCCTCACAATTCTAGACACAGTTTTTAACTTAGGTTTGTTCCTGCTTGTATTTTGAATGCCTCTTTATTCCCCATAAAACCATGACTGTCGATGGTGTCACAAACAAACAATGACTACTGATTCCGGCGAAACTGCACGCCAAAGAGTAATTCTTAAGATCAAATTTAGCTCACTATGTTGTCTGACTACCTTCAACTAGCAAGAAATTCTGCTTCTGATAACTGAGTCGGTCAATAATTTCTTTGGTCAATGTTAGAAGGGAGTTCTTTCTCAATGTGATAATTGGTCTAACAAGAGAAAAAGCAACGGAGAAAGGAAAGGAAGAAAAGCAAAAATGTATTTCGAAAGCGAGATCTGATGTGAGTACATTTTTTTCCTTTTTCATGAGAAATTAACAAAACGCAAGTCAAAGTTCAGTTAGTTCTAAATTTCTTTCCTACATGGAGACAACGATTTAAATGACTGAATGAACAAACAAACAGAAATAATAAACGAGCACATCAGGCTCTTATTTAATGGGGTATTGTGCGAAGTGCGGGCTAATTTACATTTTACGAGCTAACAGCCAATCAGAGTAATCTCCATCATACATTCTGCGATTGGTGGACCAGTCGTTCAAATTATATCTAAAAGGTGCAAGAGCTCTTAATTCCTCACAATTCTAGACACAGTTTTTAACTTAGGTTTGTTCCTGCTTGTATTTTGAATGCCTCTTTATTCCCCATGAAACCATGACTGTCGATGGTGTGACATACAAACAATGACTACTGATTGATGACGGCGAAACTGCATGCAAAAGAGTACTTCTTAAGAACAAATTTAGCTCACTGTGTTGTCTGACTACCTTCAACTAGCAAGAAATTCTGCTTCTGGTAACTGAGTCAGTCAATAATCGCTTTGGTCAATGTTGGAAAGGAGTGCTTTCTTTTCATGTCTTTTTATTGATTTTATTTGCATTCAGTTTTGTCTTATGGTACAATATAGTAAAGGATTACTGGACTTTGCAACCGTCATAATCTAACAAAAATATCATGAGAAACTCGTTTTATTATTTCATCATCGCCTAAACATTATACAGTACTGTAACGTGTTACTTTTGTCATGCGTTACCCTCAACACTGATTATTTAAAGTCCTCATGTATGCAGATGCATGTTTTGCTCGTCAAACAACCATTCAGTTGATAAAAGGTAGAAGACAGAAAAATGTAAGCGTTTTTTTGGTGGGTGCCAGCTCCGGAAGGCAAATCTCAAATATGATTGGTAAAATTAACAGTCCCATTGTAAACATAGTTTAAGTTGTATGGGCCAGCACTATTGATTCTGAAGGCCCTCGGCAGAATGGCAACATCATGAAGATGAAAGCCGATTGGTCAAAAAATATCAAAATGTTTTCTTGATTGTGTTTCAGAGTGTGTGCTTGTGTGTCATGTACAGATGCTGAAAAATTAGATGAGAGGTCTACTGTATCTGTGTCACAAAGTTTAGAGCCTCTTCTAGTGTTTTGTTATATCAACACATTATGAGTGCAGGCCCTGCAATTGGCTGGGAACAAGTCCAAGGTACCACTGGTGTTCCACACCTTCCCCTTCAAGAAGGTACTTCTTTGTTAAGGTGTTGTCAATGTCTTGGTGATTTAGGACATTGCTTGCACACATAATAATGGGGACAGTTTCATGAATTCAATTTCAGTTCTTTGTAAATGTTCACTCGGCGGTTGGTCGAACAGTATCACACGACAGATTGTGTTCAGTGTCCGTGGTTCCAATATATCGTGTGGGAGAATATTTTATTCAGCGTGTGGCCTTCTGTTATTTCCATCTGGATTATGAGTCTGCTCACAATGGGAAAATATTATGCAATGCATGATCATTATTAACTTTGTAAATGTGGACTTTTTGATACAACTCTCGTTTGGGAGTTCTCATTCGGATTGTGCAGAAGTACCTAAAGTGTCTGGTTGTAGTGTAAAGCTTTAAAGAACCTTTACAAATGAAATTGGAGATCACTTATTGTGTGAAATTTAGAGGACATTTTCAGTTTCAATTTACAGGGACTTTAAAAGAATTATTGTCCTGCTAAAAATGTCGTGTCACCATACTCTCGACTGTGAAGACATAGTGGGAATATTATCTAAAACCTTCTCTTCTGTTTGTTTAACATTTAAACAGCAATTGTGGGGCTAATTTAACTATAGTAAATATTTGTACGGTAAATACATCTATGCCTTCAACATGAAACAGCTCAGATGATTTGAGAAAGAAATGTTCTCAGTTACGAAGTAGAAAGTTACAAAGTACGGTGGCAACTGAGAATCTTGACTTGTGACACCGCAACGCAACGCGTCCATTCCACGCCATTTGTAACGTTGTACTGTTATAATTGTGATTCTGTCATTTAGCCATGATCAACACTTTGTGAGTCCTATGTGAAAAATGTTTGTATCACAAGTTTGAACTTGCAAGTCAAGGCAAAGCAAAAAAAAACCCCAAACCCCCACAAAAAAACCAAGAACAACAACAACAAAAAAAAAAACCCAAACCCCCACAAAAAAAAACAAGAACAACAACAACAAAAAAAAAAACAGGCCAAATGAAGGCTCGTATCTCGAAAGACCTGTAAGTCAGGTGACTCGTACTCAACGCATGAGGGAATCTGTCCCTTCTGATCCACATTGTGTCAAACAGCTTCATTACTTGATTCAACCGTTGCAGATGACGCAATGTGAAACAATGGTGTAAACAGCTAAAGTCAACCCTGATTTAGATCTTGATTGATCTATTTATTGATTGCGATCTTGGGGACAAGAAAAAACCCAGAGTTTTGCTCCCAGCACATATCTGGTCACATTCATGGTGAAAAAGTTTGGGAATTATTTAGCTCAGTCTCATTTTTTTTTTTTTATAGGGCAAAAAAAAAAAAAAAAAA